GAAATACTTCTCAGACCAGTCCAACTGAGAATACTATACATATTATCATCTACAGGTAATAAACCACTTCTGGGTCCCACAAATGTCTTACCTCTCCACTTTTTCTCCCTGATTTCCTCCTCTATACTCTGCATTTATTTTGCAAAATAACTTTAAATATTTGCATCTGCTTCTTCCATCTTATTAGAATAACTTTTGTGGGTAACAAGCAGTTATCGTAATGGCTATGTCACTAGACTCCCACGTAGTCAACCGTGATTCACGTCCCAGACCCGGTGGCTTAGAACTCACGCCAGGCGCATGTGCGTGTGTGCCCAAGATCCTCCAAGGTCTTGTTTTGTTTTGTTTTGTTTTGTTTTGTTTTGTTTTTTATGGCTGAGTAGTATTCCATAGAGTATATGTCCCACACTTTTTCAATCCATTTGTTAGTTTGGGCATTTGGGTTGTTTCCATGTCTTAGCGATTGTGAATAATGCTGCAGTAAACATTGATGTGCAAGTGCTTTTCTGACTGAGCATTCTCTTGTCCTTTGAGTAGATACCCAGAAGTGGGATTGCTGGATTTCATCATTCACTTCTGAAGCAATAAGAAATCTTTATTTAAGGACCAAGTAAGTTAATCAGAATTTTATCTGATTGTTTTCTGCTAAAGTTCGATTCCATAAATCTACAAATAAATAATATTTATACATATTTATTATATATTTATACATTTACTATACATTGTGTATTGATTACATATTTCTATAATATTCTGTCTTATATGTTTTAAATATCCTCCATTTTATCAATACATTAATTACAGAAGGATGATGTTAAGACTAAGAATTTGTTTAATAAAGTCAAGAATTATTGTTTAGTTGAAAGTTTAAATTTTAAGTAAAGATGTGATAAAGTAAATTTAAGTTATTTGTATTAAAAAATCATTTAGAAATAAGTTTGAGTTATTTCAGAAAGATAATATGACTCATAGTCTTAAAAAGAAACATTTTTCCAGCAATACCACAAAAGATGTTTTTAAAAAAGCAGTAACACTTTTTACCCATGACCAACCCTCAAGTTTTTGCACACCCAGGGTACACAGATTTTGGCCCCAGTAGTTTTCTTTACTACAAAGAACTATAGCTACATTGAAGATAGATGGTTCTAAGCTTGTTTGTTTTCTGAAAACAAGTTTTATTTAAGTAAGGTTTAAATATACTACATAACATTAAAACTGAAGGTAAAAACAAAAGCCAGTGTGTTACTTCACATGGCATTGGACGGCTGTTGCTAGTCAGTTGCAAGCTCTAGAGTTGGCTACATGAGTAAGACATCAGTCTGAAACTTGTTCCCTTATCAAAAAGCTTAACTGTGATAGAAGGTCAGCCTCACATTCTGGTGTTCAGACATCCTTTAAGGTAGGATATGTGTGGCCAAAAGACCATGGTGGGAAGTCACATGTCCTGTCATCTCACTGGAGGGAAGATGGCTTATCTCTATTGGCCTGCTCAAGTTGAAGATACCTGGGGATCTTTACAAGTGTCTCAGCTGCCATGGCTGCTTACCCCATCCTTCCCTTTCAGATCCATTTTCTTAAGACAAGGGACACTGCAGAGGGACTGCTAAGGAATTTCTAGCCAGACATAATTATCTGTGTTTGGCACTCTGGACTTGGTTGAAACATCACTTCATTACTTTGTTTCAGGCTGGAGCCCTCCAGGCACCTACTTCTCGACCTATGTTTAAATAAGGGACTTCAAGACTAGACAGCACTGCTCCTTTCCATTTATTACATGAAGGAATTACACTAGTCTACAATTAAAAGCAGACTCCAAGGGTAAGCAGGTAGCATGGAGTTTAAAGCACTGGCTCCCACCTGGCCTACTGTGTGGTATAAATCCTGGACATGATGACTTGAAAAATCACACCAGGAAAGCATGTATCTTTACCAAAATCTTGAAAAGAAGATGGAGGAGAAGGGAAATCATCATCCCCTAGGGGATGATTTCTCACTCTCTCTCTCTTTCTCTCACTTTCGCTCTTTCTTGCATACTTTCCCTATAGCAAAAACTACGAAAGAAAGAAAGAAAGAAAGAAAGAAAGAAAGAAAGAAAGAAAGAGAGAGAGAGAGAGAGAGAGAGAGAGAGAGAAAGAAAGAAAGAAAGAAAGAAAGAAAGAAAGAAAGAAAGAAAGAAAGAAAGAAAGAAAGGAAGGAAGGAAGGAAGGAAGGAAGGAAGGAAGGAAGGAAGGAAAAAAATAAGTGGATGACAAATGGTTACATTACACACGCTGTGAGATTTTTTTAAAACTTGTGATAAGGGACAGACAGAAGGGAAATTCTATTCATTGCAAGGAAATGCTCACTTAAACTTCAGTGAGCCACAAGCACTTAAAACCCATGAACCTTCAGCTAATGGTCCTTAACCTGTCCAGTCTCTAGGAGGAACTGGCCTGTGTTCTTGCTCTGGTCACCCTGTAGCTGAATTACTGCTCCATATTCTGGATGCTCAATTACAGGGCCATTGCAGGCACATTTCTTCTTAAATGCCTTCATTAGTTTTCATTTGTTTGTTTTTCTCCTAGTCATCAGCAATCCCTTGGGCACTAGTAAGGGTCTTCCTGCCATTTCTCTTTTGAATTCTTGTATGGGTATAATCCTCAGTGCCAGAAGGAAGCAGGCCATTGCTCTTACTTGCATTAGCAAAGGAGTGGAAAAGGTGGAAGTTCTTGGATAGTGGACATACAATGCAATGCCTTTTCCTCAGTGGAAACAACCTGTGGAAGCCATCAGTAGGAGAAGGCAGGCAGGGGGACCGAGCATCAGTTAGTGAGGGATTATGAGGTAGAAAGCTGCTGAGGCCTCAGGGGTGGCTCAGTGACTGGGGTGGTTCCAAGTTTTGGAGCAGGGAGAAACCAGGACAGGCTTGGAAAATCCTGTCATTGCCAGTCAATAATCAAGGATTTTCTCAAGGACATCAGATGTTGTACAAAAAGGATAAAGAAGCAGTCTTGAATGGTGCCCTCAGTGAGCCACAAGCACTTAAAACCCATGAACCTTCAGCTAATGGTCCTTAACCTGTCCAGTCTCTAGGAGGAACTGGCCTGTGTTCTTGCTCTGGTCACCCTGTAGCTGAATTACTGCTCCATATTCTGGATGCTCAATTACAGGGCCATTGCAGGCACATTTCTTCTTAAATGCCTTCATTAGTTTTCATTTGTTTGTTTTTCTCCTAGTCATCAGCAATCCCTTGGGCACTAGTAAGGGTCTTCCTGCCATTTCTCTTTTGAATTCTTGTATGGGTATAATCCTCAGTGCCAGAAGGAAGCAGGCCATTGCTCTTACTTGCATTAGCAAAGGAGTGGAAAAGGTGGAAGTTCTTGGATAGTGGACATACAATGCAATGCCTTTTCCTCAGTGGAAACAACCTGTGGAAGCCATCAGTAGGAGAAGGCAGGCAGGGGGACCGAGCATCAGTTAGTGAGGGATTATGAGGTAGAAAGCTGCTGAGGCCTCAGGGGTGGCTCAGTGACTGGGGTGGTTCCAAGTTTTGGAGCAGGGAGAAACCAGGACAGGCTTGGAAAATCCTGTCATTGCCAGTCAATAATCAAGGATTTTCTCAAGGACATCAGATGTTGTACAAAAAGGATAAAGAAGCAGTCTTGAATGGTGCCCTAGCTGGGTCATCCCAAGGGCTATTCACTGAGTGGCTGTCTGGGATGAGGAAGAAAGGAACAGTCCAAGACTCAGAGGGCTCTCAGACTCTTCCAGGGGACTTTTCAGGTAAGGGTGTCTGTGATCCTTCATGAAACTCATCAAAGCACCCCTTGCACCTGCACAGAGACCAGCATTTGGACAGCAGATCCATCACAGGAAAGGAGCAAAAGCAGACAGGAAAGGGACAGAAATGGGATGTGCCTGGGTGGAAAAAGTGTCACAACCAACAAAGACACTTTAAGTCTTGGAGGTATGGAGAAGTGATTTTGTTTTCTTGTTCCTCCATGGTCCTACACCAGAGGATTAAGAACAGGGAGGAGAAAGAGGCTATGACAGAGCAAACCATGCAACACGCACATGAGCACATCCACCTGAAGCTAAGTCTCCAGGCTACTATGTACATAGGGAAGAGGAACCTTTCAGATCAAATAGAATATTACATTTTTTTAAATAAAAATGGGCTACATTTTAATGACCAAATGAGACTATTTCAATATTAAAAGTGGCTGAAAGGTTGAGAATTAGAGGGAGCTATTATCTAGGCAGCTCCCTATGCAAAAATAGAGAAATAGAGCCCATGATAGCAGATGAAGTGCACAGCTCTGAGACAGTAGTTCACATCTCGAAGAGCTGAAATTTCTCAGTCAGGTAAGAGGTGTAATTTGAACCTGTGAAGTATAGAGAGTAGAGGACTCCCTCTCTACGCATACATACAAAAATCTTTAGGCAACATATAAAATGTGACTCTGAAGTATAGTCAGTTGAGGCTGGCTGGTGTGGTGGTTAAGTGTGCTGGACTCTCACAGGGCTAACCACGGTTCAAGTCCCGGACCTGATGGCTTGCTTTCTCACTCTCTCTCTGTCCCTCTCTGGTCAAATTAAAATAAATGAATAAGTGAAATAAATAAAATTCAATAAAATAATTCTTTTTTTAAAAAAAAGGTTTCTTTAAAAAGAAATATAGTCACTTTTTTTTTTTAAGATTTTTGCCATAGGGGGCATGCACTCCACCAGAGAGAGAGAGAGAAATGGTGAGAGGGAAAGTGAGAAATCACCCACTAGGCCACACTGCAATCCCATTTCCTCCACTCTCCATAGGACCATGGCATGCATACACACACTCGGCATGAATTCTACTGCTGTAGGCCATATGAGAGTCCAGTGCCTTGACCACCATGCTTCCTGCTGTCCCTAAAATATAGTCAGTTTTTGACAGTATATTTTTTTTCTTTAATAAAGCATTGTAATTGTCTCTACTTTCCTTTACTATCCCAGATAGGCAGAAACTGTAGCTGTGATATTTTTAAACTGCAAACCTAGTATCCCACTACCACAAATTATGCAGTCAAGTTTCCCACATTTGGGAAACTCACAGGAACAGGCACATCCAGAGTGCAGTGGATAAACCTCACCCTAAGAAAGAGGCTACATGCACCTACATGATCATGGTATTTCCCTACCAGGTAAATACGCAATTTGTTATTTATTTATTTACTTTTTTTTTTTTTTTGGAGAGGTTTTTTGCTATAGTGCACGTGGGCTCACCAGAAAGACAGAGAGAGATGTAGAGCCAGAAAGTGAGAAATCACTCCCCAGGGGGAATAGCCTCGCCACAATCCCTTCTCCATTCTCCTCTTGGGATCTTGGGCACGCACGCACATGCACCCAGTGTCAGTTTAAGCCACCGGGTCCAGGACTCAAACCACGGTCAACTACATAGTGACATAGCCATTACACCAACTGCTGGTCCCCACATATACTTAACAATAGAATATGGATCACAGAACTGTACTCTATTTTAACATAACATAATACACAGTTACACAATATTATGAATGATAAATAATTTTTCACTTGTTGCTTCCTTCCAAAGCATTTTGAGCTTTGATAAATCATAACTGATGCAAATTAATCTCTAATTAATGCAGATTTGCTGTATAAATTAAATGCATGATTAGAATTTTTCTACTGAATGCATTCACTTTGTAAGCCCGTTTGAAGTATATTTTGAAATGCATATTGACAGCAGGGCAGATTTTTTAATCTTAGAAATATAAATGCATCTTTTAATTACCATCGATTTAATATATTGAAGATATAATTAATAAATGCACTTAAAATACTCTGGTTAGTATAAGTTCAATGCCTGGAGTGGAAAGGGGGTAAATGACTGAGCTTTGAGTTAGTAAGAAAACCTGAAAAAGAATGCAGCCTCCTAGGCTGGCCCCATAGCCTGGTGGTGAAGGAGCCAGATCCCACGTGACTGATGGCACAATTCTAATCCCAAACTTGGAGGCTTGAGAAACACACAGGGCACCTGTGTATGAGTGTTCAAAATCCCTACAGGGTGGAGAAGTGAAGGGGAAGGGATTCCCGAGGGCTTTCTCTCTGTCTCTCTCCCTCCTACACTTTTTCTCTGTAGTAAGCATGCATCCCCTGGCAATTAAAGAGAGGGAAGCACATCCTGACTGATGTGCTTCCCTCTACCCTAACAGAATTGCTAGCAAGGACGTGCTTCAAAAGTTTCCCATGGGTCCGGCAAGTGATGTGGTGGTTAAGGGCACTAGACTCACACATGACCTACTGCGGTTTGAGTCCTGGACCTGGAGGCATGCTTTTTCACTTTCTCTCTCTCTCTCTCTCCATCTCTCTCTCTCTCTCTCTCTCTCATGCTCTGTCCTTCTCTGGTCAAATTAAAATAAAGTTAAATAAAATAATTCCTTTTTAAAAAGCTTTCCAGTTACAACATGTGAACCTGAGCACGTCACTTATCTACCTCAAGTCTCAGGTTCCTCATTCATCACGTAGCTTACTTCACAGTAAGAAACAATGGAGTACCTGTAGGCTAGAATTGTAAGAAACTATTATCATCTGCTGTACTCGTGCCAATTTCTTACTACATCACAAGTTATAAAACTTAAATTTGGATAATGGCAGCTACCACGTGTTAAACACCATGATCAGGTATTGAGCTAAATGCTTCACATGTGCCATCTCATTATTTCCTACACAGCAATAGTATTATCCCCACTTTAGAGTTGAGGAATGCAATATTCAGAGAGTAACTTGTCCACAGTCACGTAGCTGGTAAGCAGCTGAGCTGGGATTGAACACATGTGTATTTGGCTCCAGAGCTAATTCTCTAAACCACCTGGTAGACTCTCTGCCCACTAACATGGGTAAAGTTAACCAGCCCTATTCATCAATGCAGACTCACTACTTGCTTTTAAGAACAAACAAGCCAGTACATTCTTTTCATTTTTTTTTCTTTACAAGAGAGAGAAAGAGAAAGAGAGAGAGAGAGAGAGAAATAGGCACCCTCGACAGGGTCTAAACCAGTAAATACTAATCCTAAGCAGAACACAATCAATCCCCTTACTGTGCTACCCTCTCTAGCAGTAAGCATGTGCTGGAAGGAGCTACTATCCTGCTAGCTACATTCTTAGCTGTGAGAGGATGGGATCTCACTGTCTTATTTGCCACAGAACCCTCTGCAAGAATGCCATGCTTATTTGGTAAATATTTCATGTTATTGCCAAAATTTTTTTCAATATACCACTGAAGGAAAATTCTAGTCTTTTGGCATCACTAACAGAAGAAGCAGAATTTGGAAGATGAGAGACAGGACAGCATTATTGGGTCACCTGCGGCCCAAGGAGCCTTAGCAAGGAAGCATTCCTGAAGCCCGTTGGTCTTAGCAGCCTGTGTGTCACGCACCAAGACACGAGGGGTGAGAAACTCATGAAGGGGTTATATCTCAGAGAGGCTGGGATATGAGTGAGAGAAGGAAGAAATCAGAGAAACCATTTCTCTTCCCTGTCCTAAGTGACCAGCACAGCCATAGATTCTGTGCCACAGACACACTGGGGAAAAATGTTCATTGTGGAACCCAGATGCCAAAATGAAGAGGTAGAGTGCTTCCAGCAGTTGCATCTGGCTTTTTGGCAAGCTCCCTGCACTGTGGGAGTGATGTCCCCTGCATTTGCATCTTAATCGTCTCACTAGTCACCTGTGAACTAAGTTCTACCCATTCTGACCACGCACTATTTGGAACTTGGATAAAGGTGCCAGGGGTCTGTCTATTTTCAAACTGCTGTGAACCTTTCCAAAGGAATAAATTTCAAAAAGCTTTCAGCTTTAGGGATAAAGTAATGTGTGTGTGTGTGTGTGTGTGTGTGTGTGTGTGTGTGTAGCCACCTGTAGCTAAGTATCCTGAACACGTACACCTAAAATGATTTTGAAAATTGAGAGAAAACTCTGCCTCATTCTAAAGTAAGCACTCTCTTCCTGTAAATGAGCAGAGAGTTCAAAGGGTTAATCCAGTGGCTATGTAGTTAGGTAGGCCCTTAGGAAATTTAATCTACACGGAGGCTTTGTTAAAACCCTCACCTTTAGCAGAGGTTTTTTGTACATCCAAAAAGTGAGAAACGTTTCACAGCTTTCCCTCCACCCATTTTTATGCTACACCTTTCAGCAAAAGCTTTTACAATGATATTAAACATTAACTCTGTATGGGTTAATCCCAAGACACAACAGCAGCCTTAAGGTTAATAGTCCTTTTAATTAAAGGATAAGTCAGTTATTGAACACAGAAGCTAATCACAAAAGGATTACCACTGAAAATGAACATAGTCTGTGCAATTAGTCTGATAATTAAGACTTAAGTACTGGACAGAGATCAAAGTGCTTGTAATATGCAATAAAGTTCCCAGAGTTGTAAGGATATTCAAAATGTTAGCTCGTGCTTTATTGCACCTTCCATTTATCGTGTACCCATGATAGCAGCAAACACATTTCCCCAATGGATGTCAGCATGGATAACTGCAACAGCTGTTACTACATAAGCCTGGTGTTTCTCACAATATGATTACTCTGTCAACGACGGCCGTAAAAGGTGGCATCTGCATTCATCAAACGGAGTTATCAATAAATGTAAAACCATACAACAATTAGAGATCTCAAAGGAAGAACAAATCCAGCTAGGAAAAAAAAAAAATGTCAACCACACTCTTTAATTATGAAGATTGTTAATCAATAAAATGCCTTCATAACTTTTAATTAAAATTTTATTTGAACTGAATGTTTGGAGAATCTGATTCTTTGTTTTCATTACATTTAACAGTTACATTATAAAAATCCTGGTGGCATCTGTAAGCGGCCATCCCCTGGGGAACACTTTATATCTGTAATTGCATATTGTTACCTACAGAGGGTGTTAAGAATCCTTGTTAAAAATAAAGAAAATAGTTAGGAGGCATCTCACAGTAGCCATTATTATGGAGCAAATTACTAGGCAGAGCAATCCAGAAGCTGTCAAGAAAGGTTAGCAAAAAGGAGTGTGAGGAAATCAGCCATTCAGCAATTCATCATGGGCCAAAACTAGCTCCAAGATAACACCAAGGGGGGGAAAAAAGTATTTGTTTTATGAAGTCAAGACATTGCCTTTGTTTAGAGCAATGAATAAAGATTATTAAGAGGTTACTGATGAAGGATAAAAAGATAAAATGATAAAGGAAAAATCAATTGCTTTAATCACACTGATGTTCAAACAAGATAAAATGAGAACTAGTTAGAATTCCAAAGCTCTATGCTGTATATATTATCTTTACTTTAACTTTAATTTGTACTCATAAGGGCTTCTGTAATTTATGTATCACCAGCCCTGGAAGGTGACTGCTGAATTCCCATATCTTCATCCAGGGTCTTCGAGCTGAATATATACACCACATTTTTAAATGGTCTCTTTTTAATTTGTAGAAAAAGGAAATTGATCTTGAATTTCTTTCTCAACTGAGTTACCATTACGATTTCATTTGACTCTCAATTCTAGCCGACACAAATAAACCAGGTTGTCTGTTGCTTGTTTCATTGCTGAAATACATAGTGCAAGCTCTCCTTTCACATTTTGGAGCAGGGCTTGGCTTTCTTTAACCTCTACTTGGTTTCCTGAATTCCCATATGTGAAAGAACAATGGTGAACTATAGCCAACCAATCTATCCAGTGTCTAGCAAAGGCCACTAATGAGATGCAGGACACACTACCCCAAATGTAGTATCTTGGCATTTGAGGAAACAGTAGAAGTAGGAAGTTCTTTCTTACCTTCTCCCCTGAAGCAGGGCATTAGAGTCTCTGACTTTCTCCTAAAGCAGGTCTTAGGACCTCATGCTAAAGATACCGTACTCTTAAACCCAGGGGGAAGGAATGCCCCAATCTGTCAAGACACAGGGACACAGGGAAGAACCTGAACCAACAGCCCTTGCTAAATTCCCTAAGTTTATTATGTTAAAACATACCCCTTTTGTCCAATCATATTTTTGCACAACTACCCACTTTTTATTCAAACTTAGCATAAAAATACATAGGTAACCTATTTCTTTGCGTCTTCATTTCTGAAGGCTCTCATGTCACATAAAACTTAAATAAGTTTGTATGCTTTTCTCTTATTAAATCTGTCTTTTGTTATTGGAGAC